AAGAAGAAGAAGAAGAAGAAGAAGAAGAAGAAGAAGAAGAAGAAGAAAGAAAGGAAAGAGAAAGAAAGAAAGAAAGAAAGAAAGAAAGAAAGAAAGAAAGAAAGAAAAGCGGGGAGTCCTACAAGCTACAGAAAAGACAGGTTGTTTCTGGACAGACCAGTGAAATCAGCCCATGGGAATCTGGAAAGCACAGTGTGGATTACTAGAAGCCAAATTAAGTGGCTGGTCCCAGCTGGGTCAACCAAGGTGAGGTGGCCACCTTGGCTGCCAACCAAAGCCAGCAGGCACCTCTTTGGGCAGCGGCAATCCAGGAAGATGCTGGGAGCTGAACTCGCTTTGGTGACGAGGGCAATGGGGGGAGGAGGGGGCCACGTGTGAAGCCTCACCCCTCCATGTTTGTAACCAAGAAGCCTCCCACGTATAGAGAAGGTGGGCCGATTGTGGGGAGAGGCCCCAGATCAGAATCGCTGAGGAGCTTCCTGGGTCCTGGTAGCATTTATGGCGTGGTGGGTCAAAGCGTTCAGGCCGCTGAAGCTGCCGTTCAGGGAAAGAAACCCAAAGTGGCAAAGACAGAATTGCAGCAGCACGGACAGAGAAAGCTCAATCCAGCGAAAGATGAAACGAAGCCACAGACAGATTGGCATTTTACGCATCAGCAAATCGAGATGGATCCCCTAGCTCAGTCAGAAGATCCCACCGTTTGCTACTCAGAAAACATGAAAAGCAGAGAGGAACGGAGCTGCTTCCATAGGAAAGAACTACAAGGCCGAAATGTAGAACAACTCCCGTTTCTGCCAGTCCAATAATTTTTGAACTGTTGAGGCATTCTTTAAACAACCAAAATAATGCATATGGTAAGGGGACATCACTGGATGGGGGTATCCTCAATTTTCAAGGAAGGTATCAGGAATCACTCTGAATTTCTGAATCTCATTGTTAAGGAATCGGGAACTACGAAATGAAGTATGCCATCAAGAGACGTCTAAGGCATAAAACTCAGAAAGGATCTGAATGAAGAGTTCCAGAGAGGAGCAGTTAGAGGAGATGTGTAGCAACCAAATCTGCAAACAATGAAAATGGAAACAGAAACCAGAGGAAAATCTTCCATACTGAGCAGGTGTGATGGACGGTGCACCTGGGGAAGCAGCTAGGAGGTTGGTGGGGGGGGGGGGTGGGGTGGGGGCGGCGGGGGGGGGGGGGGGGGGGGAGGCCTTGCATTCCAGAGAGAAGCCCAGATTAAGAGAGCGGAGGAGCCCCCAGCTGAAGTGGAGCTGTGAGGGGGAGAGGAAGAGGTTCAGGGCAGCCACACCCCAGATTCTCTCAGGACAGGCCTATCAGGATAGCTTTAGATAGGAAGGAATCTGTCAATTCCAGGCATTCCTCAACTTAAGACTGGTCACCTACTGACCATTCAAAGTTACAACCCTCCCAAAAGCTACCTATGACCCGGTAGCTCTGAAAGTTCAGATGGCCGACCCTGTAGTCACATGGCCGCATTTTGGGTGCTCAGCATTTACAACTGTTTGCAGAGTCACATGGTCACAATTTATAATGTTTTGGCCAGAAACTGGTGTCTGGTTCTCCTTTCAGGCAAAAATTGGCCCCCAGTGAACCAAGGGTTTGTTTAATAGCCACCACAAAAAGTGTGGCAAAGTCAGGTCAGTGGTGTGGGTGGCCCATTTTAAAACTTTCATGACTTACAACTGTCATTTCTAGGCTCATGTATGGTTCTAAATCAGGGACTGGCTGCAGGCTAAGCAAATAAAAGATTGGACTTGGCTGGATTTTGGGCCTGGCAGAAGGAGACCCCCAACCTCAGATGCGTGTGCTAAAGGACCCGACAAACAGGGAGAAACAGAAGGAAGACGCTCATTGCACTATGGAGACGTCAACCCACCTTAAGCATGAAGAAGGACAGAAGCGTTTTCAGATGCCAGCAAAATAGCAGTTAGCGTCATCGGAGGCAGCTTAGAGTCCTGATATGGAAAAGCAGGTGGGTGTCAGATGCTCAGGCCAGCTTTAGGAAAGGCCAAGGGGCAAGGGCCAGCTGATGCATGCTGGGTAAT